AGGAGCCAGAAGAACCTTTTCTCTTGATTGCACTCAATGAGCGTGACCATGTCCTCCCGAAACGGACCACGAAGTGCTTCACGTGGGTAAAGAAAGTTTCTTTGCTGACAGAATGCGTCAAGCCACTGAAGCTCTTTCTTGTCTTTGTCGTAGACAAACTGCTTGCCAGAGGGCTTATCCAACAACACTCGTCTCTGGAGCAAATCCCTGACCCAGACCGCGGTCGTTTCCTCACCACGCCTGATGTTAAGAAAGCCTCGTTCATTGTCATCAAAATGCAGCACAGCTTCCCCAGAGCCCACAACTGCCTCCCCAGTCTGCTTGTGTCTGAGTAGCCACTTCTCTCCCCAAGCGCTGACCTCCACATGACCAGCATGTGGCACGACATCACACCGCTCCGGCTGATGTTGAGGGTGTGGAGGTGGAGCCACGCAGTCCGACATGAATGGGAAGCAAGGCACGGGACTCAGATTATGCCAAATGATGCTGGCACCAGCATGTGTGTGATGTGCACATGTTTGGCAACTGTTGGCTTTCGACGCAGTGTCCTTTCTAGATTCTATCAAGTCAAACACCCACTGAGAACCGCAGCGAAAAGCCATGATAAAACCAGCACTGCAGCTTGCTTTCGTGCAAAACTGCAATTGTCAACTTGGCCAGCCTCCAGGAATAATAGTCTTCTGCGTGCAGGCCAACCTTTGCAGCAACATCAAGCCACCGCCCTCTGCCCCAATCCCTTCATTCATGAACAGTGCCCCAATCACAGTCCGGAATCCAAACCATGTGTAAAGCTACTGTACAGAATACAGGCAGCACTTTTTTCCCCAACTGAGGCCTATCACCCCTATGTATGGATCAGAACCCCGCAAGTTGGAATGAGTTCCCGCGCCTGTTTCTTTCATGACCTTAGAGCGCTGCGCCCCTGCCACTATGAAAAAATATTCTTTACCAATGTTTGTTAGATGTGAACCGCATTGAAGGGTTGAAGGGCTTTGGCTCCGTGACAGCAGTGGACATCAGTAGCAAAAAAGTCGTCAAGGGCGCGCGGACAGGCTGGGCGCACATTACTGCACAATGATTTGAAGAAGGAAGCCCGTGGCAGTCAAAAGAACTCAGCCCTGCAGTTGGTGCTAATCACCGTGCACCAAGACCGACAAATTAGCCGTGCTTAGGAAATGACCACAACCAAGCACAATTAGCGCATGCCATTTTGGCAATGGCCTTCATGTGCTGATTCTTCACATGGTGACAGCGCCTATGATGGTATTTTGCACGTCCATCCAAGACATACACAACCGGTGTCCCGAAGTCGCAGGCGGTCATGTCCTGCTCACGAGAGACCTTTGCTTCTGCGCGCTTGACCCACCAACAAGTGCCACACACCGTGACCAGCACGACCGCGCCCGTGTAGAAGACCACCATTACCATGATAGTCCTAACAAACTCGTCCATGCTGGCGCGGTGAGTGTCTAGTGAGAATGCAGCATTTGACCCCAGCCTGCGGGAAAAACAATTCAGCACTCCAAGGTTCGTGGAAAGGATCTCAGCTAATTAATAGAAACAACTGTAGTGTTGTACTGGGCCCATCTGATTTGTACCGCGGAATCCTCAGCTCACCTGGTGGAAGTCCAAACACTTTCCATACTTGCACCTGTGAATGTTCAAAAACATAGTGCCAAGTATGCTCGAAAACCAGTTTCAAACACAGGAATGAATACATGCGAAGGGCGACTGTGGACCTGTGTGCTTACTTACCACCAAATGCAAGAAAAAGGCAAGTTCAACATGGCCAAGCACTCACAAAGCAAGTCCAGCAAGGCCAGTCCAACTAGGCAAGGCCAACATTGCCAAAATTGTTCAAGCCGCACTCCGCTACCTGACCCTGCTTGTCAAGCAAAGAACAACATTGCTCAGACCACTTGTGACAGTAGCAACTATTTTTGCTAGCTGGAATTTGGCCAGTTCTCCGGGCAGAGTGGCCAACAACAATAAAACCAAGTGCCACTGAAATGGCTCGTGCCACTGGAACGCTGGTGGGAGCGGAAAAGCCGCACGCGTTCAGAGTTCACAACCTACTGCTAGCTGCTGTGTGGGCTTGTTGTGCTTGTGTGTGTTGGCCGACTTTTAAACGTGGGATGTGTGATGGGCTTAAGGCTAAACATCATCTGTGGCAGCGGCCTTTTGCATCAACGTGGTTAGTCTCGCAATGATGCTCGGATCGGCTGAGCTTTAAGAAACACTGGCATGTTATAAGACACAAGCATACTCAGCGCATTCCCGGGCTATGCTGCAAGGGTGGCACCAAGTGGGTCTTCAAATATGAACAGCTTGTAAAGGCCAGATTGATGGGCCCCACCCAGCACAATTGACCCCCTGGGCACAGGCTGTGTGAACAAGATTAAACCAAGCGTTGGTGTGGGCATATGGCAGCAAACTCGTGCCGCAGCTTTTTCCTCTGCCCATTGTGTTGCAGGCCTGCGTTTGCTGGCTTGCATAAACCCAGACCAGATGCGGCGCTGACAGTGCCTCGCATCTAAGTGACCCCGAAACTTCATTGTGCCCCTTTTTTGAGAGACTAGCATGGTGACCTTTCCATGTCAGATTCAGGTTCAGTCTGATCATCGTCCAGCCGCTGGCCCTGCAACACTAGCCAAGGTGGCACATTGACGGACCTTTGGGACATGGCCTGGCAGGCCACACTGGAGACCCAGTCTCTGACATTCTGATGCCACCGCAAAACACGGCCCTGAAAGACCATGTCCTTGTTCAAGCTGACGTTCTTTGCTTCCAGGTCAAGTATCTGCTGCTTCAGATGCTCCATCTCAGCACTGCAGTGGCAGAACATGGCCACCTGGTCTTCCTCCTTTGCGGCAGGCAGCATGGCCGGCTGCAACGCTTCACCATCGGCCTGGCCAGCAATGATCAGACCGCAGGGCGGCTGCAATCCCACATGTTCGGCTGCGTCGCCAATGACCGGACCATCGATTGCAATGACCGCTCTCATTGGTGCTGCTTCAGGCTTGTCACTGACTGGCAGTGGATGCTTAGACTTCCCGACTTTGCCGGCTTGCCTGTACAACTTTGCTAACACCTGCTTCCGTTCATGGGGCTTGTGCTTGACCGCTTGGACCTTACTTGCTCTGGCGGCTGACCTGACCCAGCTTCTCCTTTCTGTTCCGCTCATAGACCTTGCTGAGCTGTTTCCTTCTGGCTGGCCCTGTCGGACCGTCAGGACCATCCAATCCCAAGGCAGCAGCGTATTTGGAACGCAAACGGGGCATGGCAATCTCTTTCCCCAAGTTGACTAACCTGGAAAAGCCGACAACAGTGGGTGAGTGTCTTTCCTTGTTTGGCTTTATGGTTCTGTGTAGTGTCCGATGTTGTTATGAATCCATGGGTGCTTGAAATGGGGCGCGCTGGGCCAAAAGGATGCGCCGGCCGTGCGCAGAACCCTCACAAGAACACTTTGACTTCCCTTGCTGTAGGGCAAGCCCTGCAGGGTCTTTCCCAAACAGTCGCGTGCCAACTTCCCTTGCTGAGTAATTAAAGGACACTTGTTTCTGAACTGCGTGGTGGCTCTCTGCTCACGTAGTCTTGTCTTGGCCATGCCTGCTTGTCCTGCTACTTGGGTTTCATCTTGCCTTACATGAACGCTGATGAGCAGGGTTCTCTTCGTTGCATATGTAGAGACTGCAAATGTGACTACAGCACATAGTCCATGACCAGTGCGACAAAATCGACCATGGCAATGACCGACTTCATCAAGGCCGACATTATTGAGACCAACTCGAAGAACAGACCTCTAAGCCTTTGTGCTACAAACGCAAGACCACCCGCACCTCTAGCCAAGAATGCGCGGCGTCAGACCAAGCACTGCGAAAACGCAATGGGACTAGCCTGATATGATGACAATCACTCGAACCTGCCCAAGCTTCAGCAAGCAGTCGGCTACACTCTGTAATAAGCACTGTGCACGATGGAAGCAACAGCTTTTGCCAAGTATTTGCCAAGGGAAGTGTAGGAAGTGTCCTCAAACAAAGTGCAAGAGGTTTCCCAAAAGTTGACCTAGGCTGATCCTCTCAACAGGCAACATCTGTCCGTTCTATTAAACACAAACCAAGCTTAGATAGCACGAACCCTGCCCCGAACCCTCGGGGGACACAGCACGAACCCGAGCCAGGGTTAGCACGAACCCTGCCGCGAACCTTCTGCGAACCAAGTTTGCTGTGCTACGTTAAAGGAAGCAGCCACCACGAACCCTTCACGAAGGGGTTAGCACGAACCTCGGTTCGAACCCGAAAGCCGGAATGCACGAACGTTTGGGGGCCTGGGATTTCGGCACGCAACCCCCACGAACCACCACGAACCACCACGAACCACGAACCCCCACGAACCCCCACGAACCCCCACGAACCCCCACGAACCCCCACGAACCCTCACGAACCCAGCTGTGTTTCTGCCGACAATTGCTTTTGTGCTTCCCAGATGCTGTGGGTCAGGCCACAGACCGTGCAGGTCAGGACCCGGGACCTAATTAGTGATGGAGTTCTTCGACGTGTCATTGAGACCGCATTTTTGCAGAACTCAACGTGGCCAACAAAACTAGACCAATTGCTGGCAAACACATTGCATTGCCCAGAGTGCCTGACTTGTAAACCGCCAGACATTTGTCGAGCTGGACCCCGGCTGAGTCTGCAGTCTCTTGGCAGACAGGGTGGCCAAACATAAGCGCAAGCTCCCATGGCACAATGAACCGGCGCTTGGCTGGCAACCAGAACTTGGAGTTGCGGCGCATGGTGGGCAGAGATCCGTTCTTGGACATGACCGCGATGAAACTCGGGTTCTGAGTCAAGTCAAAGACACAGGAGTGGTCGCTGCTGGCATTTGACCCGTCTCGGCTGTTCCACAAGTCCAAGTACATCTGCTTGTTCCTGACACGTCAGTTCATGTGCCATGACTTGTCATGTGATGCAACGTGCATCACCAGGCACAAGAACACGCTACGTGTAAGAAATAGCCAAGCTCAAAGCGGTCCTGGCTTCAAAGGTGGACAGCACCGGGCTCCAATCATCGCTGACATGTGTCACCGCCGGGAGCTTCATCCTGGCACGCAGCCGGTTCTCCTCCTTGAGCAGCACGTCCACAGGGGTGAAAGAACAGTAATCTGCAATGGACAGATGCTTGTCGATATTTGCGTGAACTACCCGGCAAATCTCCTGCAAAACGTGTTCGGGGCTTGTGACCACATGGACCTTGTCCTTGCGATATGCCACTGTGAAAAGACGAGGTCTGGCCATGGCAGTTTGTCCGAAATCTGCTGGGGCCAACAGCAAATCGTAGACCATGTACTCTGTGCCCAAGAGGTCGCGGATATACCCAGACCTTGGCAGATCTCCACATCATCACATGTGCTCACTGCACTCTGCGGGTTTGTCAAAATGTTGGGACAACGTGCCCCTGTAGTGAATGAAGCATATTATGCCTAGGAGCTGGAAGCCCAGCACGTTCTCGTGGATGCACCATGTTAGACCACGGCGCTTCACGTGAGCCAGCCAAGCCCACGTGACTCCGGTGCGGCTGTCCTTGTCACCTGGCCACGTGAGCAAAGCACATACATGTGTTGAACAAGCGACAAATGTCTGGCTATACCAGGCCTTCGCGTTTTCCCATTCTTGACCACGGGGGGCAAGGAGTGCCCGCTATGCATCCCTGTACGTTCAATGGGACCTGGCAGGACCTGTTGTGGGTTAAGCAAGGAATCTCTGAGGACTTGTCGAACTTTTTCACAAAGTGCTGGAACCGCTGGCGTGGAGCTTTGACCTGGTCAGCCTGGCAACCTGGAAACATGTGAAAGAGGTCGCCGAAGACGTGGCCAGAAAGCTTGCGGGCACACAAGGCCTGGCGGCAGTGTGGATCGATCTCAAAGCTCGCCACAGCCTCAAGCTTCACCGCAATGTCCATTGATAGGCCTGCTGCCACCACCTGCTCCACGGCCGCCTCTGCAGTGCCCAAGCCCGCGCAACAGCAAGTAAAAGTCTGACTGCTTGCTGCCAGCAAGCTGTCCGAGTACCCGGGCACAATGTTTGGCAAGTTGGACAGTGCGACCCGAGCCCAGTGGCACAACGCGAGGACACTCGGCGCAGGAGACTTCTGGCCCATGCTCTCGTTCTTGTGGCTGAATTGGACCTCGTCCTCGTGCTCGAGGTGTGCTCGTAGTCTTTTCAGGCCACGCACGGGGGCTTCTAACATGGCTGCAGGCAACAGGGGCGTGTAGGGCTTCAATGGCCTTGCAGGCGGAAAAACCTCATGAGCCACAGAGCCCTACACAATTGTGGACTTGCTGAAAGCCAATGATTTGATATGGCCACAATGCTCTTGTGAGTCCATGCATTTCCACAATCTTTTGCAACACGCATATCTAAGGTTCTCGCTTGACACGTCTCCGTACAAACGATCGGACTGGCACTCGCCTCGGAAGGCCAAAGATATCACGCTGGTCAGCGCAAATAATTTCAGGCAAACCTAAAACAGCAGGCCCGTGATACACCCAGCCGAGGAGGCAGCCAGAGGATGCCAACTGGATGGGCCTCAAAAAAAAACGCCCACATACTTCTTCTCAGTCACAAAAACAACATGCAATTGCATTCTACGATGTCTGTGTTGCATGCAATGTACCAAACAAATCATTTCATGGCGCGTGTATAAGTCTACAATTTAAGCAACGCAGTAGCAGACATATCCAGCAGCACTAGTACACGGCACCGGGCCGGCGCCTCGCAAGCAAGCGCCGGGCCAGCGTCGTGAGAGAAAGCGCCGGACCAGCGACCAGCAAATGGGCGCCGGGCCGGCGCACGAAAAGGCAGCGCCGGACCGGCGCACGAAAAGGCAGCGCCGGACCGGCGCAGCTGTGGTAGGCCACGCCGGGCCGGCAACGCAACAAAAGATAGTTGCCGAGCCGGTGCTGCTTCAAACAATGCTACAACAATGAAATGCGAGCCGAGGTGATAACGCTGATGTTGAACATATTGCTGCGTGCCAAATGCAAGCTCAACCGTGCTTGATATATGATCGGAAACATTAGGAGTTCTCGCAAAACATTCGTTGTTAAAGCAATGGAATGCTTACGGGCAGCACTTATCTAGAGGCGCCGTGTCGGCGCTATGGGAAGCACAGCCGGACCAGCGCTGACTGCAAGACAAACCTTGCGAACACAGTGCGCCTTCATCGTTCAAAAGAATGGCCGAAAGCATTTACAGAACTACCAATGTTGAAACAAATTTATTTCCGCTGAGACGTCGTGGCAATAAAGCGGACGAGCACGTGCTGAGTGAAGCAAGACGGACTATGGAAACAAAATAGAAAAAGAACATTGTACACAGTGCAAAGGCGCGTAATGCTTGTCGCTTTTTCGGAAGTGTGTTGCGTTTATGGCTTGCCTAGCTGGTGCTAGCGTGCCTAGCTTTTGCCGATGTGTTTCATTGGTTTTTTGACGCCATAAGCATGCAAGTAAATATCATGACACCTGGGTGACGCAGCTTGTGTTTGGCTAGGCTACAGTGTCCTATGCCATTTGCATTGCAAATCTAATCACATCAGCGAATGCTATTGCTGCGTTGCAAATGCTTAGAAGGCTCGGGAAACGCTTTGAGGTTGCAGAGCCGGGTCGGCAAATCCCACTGCCAGCGCCGTCCCGGCACATGGTATGCCCAGCGAGTGCCGAACACACATTAGCACGCATTCGATAGAACACATGTTCGAGAGCAAAAAACTGTTAGTCACCAACATATTTCAATGGAGCACATTGAGGACCGCAGTGCCACTATTGCATTTTGATCGAAAAAACGAATAGACGCAAGGCCTTGCTGGTGCTGGTCTGGCGCTTTTCCAGAGACACATTGTCGGACCGGCGCTGCTGCGAGCTGTGCGCCGCGTCGGCGTTGTATTGCAACAGGCTGGGCTGAGTGGGGCCGGCCCAGCGCGCAGAGAATTGACGCTGTTGTGGCATTGCTGCAAATTTCATCTGGCTCGCTTGTGAAATGAGTGAACACCCACAAGAACTTGCTTTTTTGAAGCGTGCAAAAAGAAATGGCAGCGCTCGGTGTTTTGGTGCGTTCTTGGCACCAGTTGTAGAATGCGAGCGTGCGTGTGGTGCAGGATCTCTTTCTAGCGTGTGATTATAAACCTGTCGCGCTGTGTGTTGACCTGAAATGTTGTTTCGAAGTAATTAGCCAGTTATAACATCATGCCTGGACATGAACACAACCAAGTCACCATGCTCACGACAGCTCGAGCTGCGTCCAGCACAACTGATTCCCAGCGCCCAGCGTGTGGCCAAAGTGATCGCCTGGAACTCGAGATACCCACCTGGCAAACACAAAGGGCAAATGATGGCGTGTGGAGCATGCTTTTCGAACGGTGGCATGAACTGCTACAGCGCTCTGTGTGAGGCAGCCCCGAGGCAGCATAGGTGCATTTTTTTCTTCATGACTGGCGGCTGCACGGCTACGTCGTTCGCCGTAAATTCCGGCCATTCCGCCATGCTGCAAGGTCGCAATTATTTCTGAATAGACCTGTCACTTATTCTGGGTAGAAAAACCAAGACCAAGGCTCAACATTACTAGCATTGCAACAAGGGCTTGACCTCACACAAACGTGACCAAGCAGGCATGAATTAAAATTAGACGGACCGCAGCAACTGATCATCAGGAAGTTGACCAGGACCAGCTTGACCAGTGGGACCAGTCGTCGTGTGCTCGCCACTGATCGCTCCAGTCTGCCTGCTGCTGCTCTTCGGGTGACCAGAGCCAAGCCCCATGGTGGTTTCAATCCTCCTGATTCTCCTCCGTGGCCTCCTGGGCTTTATCATGGCTCCCACCCTCCTTGGCCTCCGCCGCCTTCTCGTCTGACTTCTCCTGCGCCTTCTCGTCTGGCTTCTCCTCCTTCTCGTCTGACTTCTCCTCCGCCTTCTTGTCTGACTTCTCCTCCGCCTTCTCTTCATCACGTGCAGCGCCCTCCTGATTTTGGCTCAGCCAGGCCTTGCTTGAGGACCACAAAAACTCGTCAGGATTGGGGTTCTGGGGGAGGAGGACTGCTGAAGGCCCGCAGTTTCCTCCTGACCCGGAGGAGGCACAGGTGCTGCAACATCGGCGGGCGGGGGCAGACCATCCTGACCGTTGCCAGCTGGACCTGTGTTGCTTGATGATCGCTCCCAGCCCCAGTCAGAAGACCTCCAAGACCAATTCGTGTCCTCATAGAAAGCGAAAGACGGCTCTGGCCGTGCAGGAGCTTCTGGATAATCTCCGCGACCAGTTTCTTAGCAGGGCAGTCGCGCGCAAAACGTCCCTTGTTTGAGTTTGGCCCGAGTGGAATGCATGACGTGCAAATCATCAAAATGTGCAGCTAAGATGCGATGCCACTCGATGCGATCTCGACAGTACTGCGAGAGGACCTTGGACACGTCGCGCCACCGATGGCTGCGGTCGTACTGCAGCATTTGGCCTTGCCAGCACGTGTGACGGGCAACACCTTCAATCTAAGCACCAAATGAGGGCACTTGCAAACACCCATAATAATAGTAGTAACTAACTATATTATTCATAAGACTCGGCCAAGCAGCGCTGCAGCTTGGGGATGATCTCCATCGCGTACCGCTTCAGCTCTGAGTGCGTCAGCAAGGTCAGGATCGCCTTAGTCAGTGGTTGGGCAAAAGCTCTATTTAAGGTACTACACGAACGCTCGTGGCACAAGTACAGATCCCATCTGTGTTGACCAAATAAAACATCACATGTGTAAAACAAAAGCGCAAACTAGCTGCCATCGAGACACAATCCAAGCATGACGATCGACCTGCAGGTCCTCCAAGCACAAATGCATGCGCGGCGCCAGCTCCATCACCATTTCCTTGATGCGAGGCAACTGATCCGGCGGGCGACCACCCGCATCTCGACCAGCCGCTGGACCAGCTGGCTGACCTGTCAGCGGACCTGCCACTTGGCCCGCCGTTGGTTGCCCGGGAGGCATGGCTGTGCTCGCTTGGCCAGAGGCATTCCAGGGCACAAAGACCGGCGGCGTGGCGAGCTTGGGTGGCGGTGGGGGAGGGAGCGCCGTCACTTTGGCCTGGGGGAAAGGTGGCGGGCCATGTGAGACCTGCATCCAAAGCGAGCCATCTGGCGCAGTGACCAAAGGCTGTGACATCTTTGCTAGACCGCCTTGAGTGTGAAAAATGCAAACTGCATGGCAAGATGCAAGCACTCCTCGAAAAGAATTCAATTGATGTCATGATAGAAAAATATTGCTTGGAACTGCCCGGGAAAATGATTTGTCAATTCGCCCAACGTCAACGCAGGCGTCAGGCATCAATGCATCACTGGAAAGTAACCAAGCCAGGCGCACGCTCCTGCAATAATAAAGTGCAGCCAGATGACCACATTGGGCCTGAAGCAAATCCGAGCGCAGTTCTAGGACTGTTCCCACTGCACAGCAACAGCAGGTCCACGCCAGGCTTGAGGGCAAAGCCTAGCGAGCACACTGAAGGTCCAGCAACCACGACTTTGGACTGGACAAGCAGAGGCCTGTTGAGGAGTTTTACAAAGCCAGCAAAAGTCTGCAAGAAATTGCAAGACCTCGCTGGCCTCAACTACTCAAGGCAGACCCAAAGACAGTGTAAGACCTCGCTGGCCCCGAGGCACCAGCGGAGGCTGCACCGTTGCTGGCCTCGGCGACGCCAAAGCCAGCAGAGGTTGTGAGACCTTGCTGGCCTTGAGCCCAAGGCCAGTAGAGGAGACCTCGCTGGCCCCGAGGCAGCCCCAAAGCCAGCAGAATGCCAGCACAGTTTGCAACACCTCGCTGGTTTCAAGGCAGCCCCAAAGGCAGCAGAGGTTCCAGGATTTCGTGGGCCGCAAGGCGACACCACAGCCAACGTAGGTTGCAAGACCTCGCTGGCCTCGAGGCAGCCAAGCCAGCAGAGGTTGTAAGACCTTGCTGGTCTTGAGGCAGCCCCAAAGCCAGCAGAGGTTGTAAGACCTCGCTGGCCTTGAGGCAGCCCCAAAGCCAGCAGAATGCCAGCACAGCTTGCAACACCTCGCTGGCCTCAAGGCAGCCTCAAAGCGAGCAGAGGCCACCACACCTTGCTCAGCCCCAAGACCAGCAGAGGTTGCAACACCTCGCTGGCCTCAAGGCAGCCCCAAAGCCAGCAGAGGTTGCAGGACCTTGCGGGCCGCAAGGTGACACCACAGCCAACGTAGGTTGCAAGACCTCGCTGGCCTCGAGGCAGCCCCAAAGCCAGCAGAGGCTGCAGGACCTCGCTGGCCTCAAGGCAGCCCCAGCCAGCAAAGGTTGCAAACCTTGCTGCCCCCATGCTTCACCAACAGCCGGCCTCAAGGCCAATAAAAGTCACTGGCCTCAAGGCCCAACATGACTGGACAGGCATCATCCAACTCAATCTTGCAGGACCAAAATGACCAGCATGCTTGCAAGCAGACCATGCAAGGCACGCCTCATGTAATGAAGGCCTAACAACTGCTGTCCCCAAGGCCTGGCTGCAAGACAAAACGGCCTGGTGCGCAGGCACACTTGTTACAAACACATGCCTCAGACACTCAAATGCGCAAGCGTCATCTCTCGCACCTAAGACCAGATTGTTGCCTGATGTGGGGCCTCGAAGCACAGTCAACACAAGAAATGCTCCACGCACTGCACAGCCTAGACCTTGTGAGCGCTTAGAATCCAGCCAAATGCCCCAGCATACCTGGGCCGGTTCACTTGCCAAGTCAACTTGCCAAGCCTGAGTGCGCCTGAGCGTGAGGCTGAGGCCAGGCACAAGTCCTGCAGCTTTGTTTGTCACCATGGCCATATGACGTGGGATATTCTGACCCCTGATCTACTGACCAAACACCGCTGATTTAAATATAGCTTGGGGAGGGGTAAGCACAGCCAGCAATCAGGCATTATTTTGAGCACCCACACTCGTCGTGGAACTTTCGGACCAGTGATCCGTGAGGAAAAGCGAGGTGAGACCCGGAAGATCCACATGCCTGCTGCTTGCGAAACCACATGCTATTTGGACCGACGCTTTTGGTCTGAGACTGGGCGCAGTTGATTAAAGGCCTTTCTTAGCCGGGGCAAGCATGTGGATGGCAGACCGGTGTGCGGCAAAAAGAGGCCACAGCAGCCTCAGGCCTCAGGCCAGGCCGGCTTGGCTTTCACTGGTACTGGTGGCGGTGGCTTCGGGGCGCTGGACTTGGGCGGCGGTGTGTGCGGCACAATGAACTTGACCGCCGGACCAGGTGCACCTGCTCACAGCTTCGAAATTCAGAAAACGGCTTTGCTAATGACACTGCAGCATGATGCTTCTGTGACACAACCTTGCCTCCTTGAGAAAGGCCAGCTTTCATCTGACCGCCAGCCGTCACAGGCACTGCCGGCAAATGACCTGTGACGTCAGAAGGGGCAGATGTCCGCACAAGAAACCAACTCGCCTGCGTCACGGCGTTCAGGAGCATTTGGCAGACCTCCTGCATTTGCAATCATGTTTGCTGGATTTGGGCCATGAGCATCGCACTTTACTTCTAAGCTGACAAACATGTCCACCATGACAAAGTCAGCACAAAAGCCCCTGCTGCTCCTGACTTCGGAGGCGCTGGAGGCCGCGGAGGTGGTGGAGGTGGTGGAGGGGCCGGCAGACCAAATCTCCCGACAGACCTTCGATGCTCCATCTGCTGGATGACCCTCTGGGCCTGCTCGACATCGCCCTTGGTGTGGGCCATTTGATATAAGGGGTTAAATAGCATAAATGTAATACGCACAACTTCTGCGCAGCCGAAAAAGACAATGCGGCCAAGATTCCGGGAAGTGCAGTGACCACCAGGCCAACTGGCTGGCCCCAATACCCAGCCAATTGCGAAGTACCTGAGATTCATGGCGAAATCGTTGCTGCATAGAACAAGCAAATCACACAACTCTCTCAATAATTAATCCCGTGCGAGACACTTCACAGACATGTCTGCGATGCTCGGCGCCTGCCGGGACCTCTCCGGGGGGGTCGTAGGACAGAGGCTGGCAGGCGTGGCGAACACCCTGAGCTCATTGCGGCAACATCCACATCGTCAAACAGAAGGCGCGAACAAGTGCCACATTCAGCTTGCCGCCAAGAAGCTGGATGCGACTCGGCCATGTAGCAAATGACCGTCCGCAGCAAGCAGTACTCCCGATGCAAGGCCTACCCGAATCATGGAACCAAATTTGATGAGATTACTGCCTCAATGACTGTCAACTCTATGTCACGCAGCCAAGGGGCCTCATAGTCCGATGGGCTGTCGCGTTCGTTTGGGGTGGAAGACCTTGCTGCTGGCTGGACCTCCGCCTTGGTCTGTTTGACCCTGGCCTCCTTTGTGGAGGTGGCCGCATGTTTGGCCGTGTCTTTGGCCCCGTGCTTGGCCCCGTGTTTGGCCCCGTGTTTGGCCGCAGGTTTGGGCTGTGCAGCTTCGGCCTTTCGTTTTCTGCGAGCAGCTCGGATGTGTGCATTGGGCTTCTTGCGATGTTTGCCCTTGTTTCTGTGGGCCCTGGGCTGACCGGTTCTAGCGCCTCGTGATGACCCGGATGACGAAGAGTCAGCCTGAGGGCAAGCGCGGCGCAAACGCAGCCAACTTGCAATCCCATATGATTATGTTGCAGGGGTCGGGTGATCCTTTTGGCTTAAAGCTTAAGTAAGCTTGGACCCACTCCCTCCAGGCCCGGCCTGGCCAACTGGGATCGCCGTTTCGGTTGGCGCGGGCGCTGAAGAGCAAGGCAGCTGCGTGACCTCCGTTGGGACCTCCGTGGCAACCTCCGGAACCACCTCCGTTGGAACCGGGGTTTCGTCGTCCGACATGGCAAGACCGAAGGACCGAAGGACCTAGAGTGCAAGCCAATGTCGGGACCTGGTTCGGGGCACCATGTCAGACCGGTTCGGGGCACCATGTCAGACCATGTCAGACCACACATTCTGTCAATGGCTGCTGTGACCTTGACCAGATAATATGCTTGATCCGATGAATCATGCATGCTCTGCTCATTTGTGCTGCCAACACTGAGTCAAACCAAGTATGCCCCATGTCTTGCAATGCGAGTCAATCCCTGAAGCGGTCCTCGTCAAACGCAGAAGGCGAGCACGGCAACCTGCAGGCACAGCTGATTAAAATGAAACGCAAGGACATTGGACAAAACACGGGGCAAGCAACCCAGCCTTGACTCAACACTTGCCAGCCTGGAAGCCAGCAGCGGTCTTACATATGCCGGCCTCAAGGCCCAACTGGGCAAACAACATTCAAAATCAAAAGGACCCACAACCCTGCCTGCTTGCTTCCACGGCCAACTGGGCAAGCAACCCAGCCAGCCTCAAAGCCAGCAGGGCCTTGTAGACCCCGCTGACCAACTGCATGGTCAAGAAGCCCATCCACCTTGAAACCAGAAGATCCTGCTAACCCACCTTGCAACACTGAGTCAAAAATAATAGTGCAAGTGGAGCCTGCCCCCTCAAGCAGAAGGCCGAAGGCGACCTTGAGACCATGCCGACCTTAGCAGCAAGCACAGCTGAGAAAAATGCGACGCAAGGACATTGCAGAACACTATGACCTGGGGCAAGCAACCCAGCCAGCCTCAACACCTGCGAGCCTCGAAGCCAATGGACAAGCAACACAGGCAGCCTCAAAGCCAGCAAAGGTCTTGCAGAGGGGTTGCGCGTGGGAGAAGATAGGGAGTGAAAAGGACAGCGACGGAGAAAAGGCGGGGGAAGGGAGGGAGCACCGACTGCTGGACGTGGCCGTGGTAAAACACTGTGACGTGAAGCCGGAAGAGAGAGGGACACGAGAGGGGGGTGAGGGAGGCTGGGAAGGGTGGGAGGGAGAGAGGTCTTGGGCAGCATGGAAGGGAACGGGGAAAAGCGGAGGGGGCGGAAGGTAAAGAGATGGGGGTAATTGCGAAGCGGAAGAGGCGGTAAGGGAGAGAG